AAAAAAAAAGAGCTAAAGGGAATAGAGAGAAATACTGTTATCTGATAGTACATGGAGGGGAATGTAATCATTGTGATGAAGCAATTTATATGATTTGTTGAATGTAAAACTGATGATTTGCCCTGTAAACTTACACTCAATCCATAATAAAAACTTAAAGGAAAAACAAAAATAGCAAAAAATTTATTTAGAACTCTCTAGAGAAAGGGAGAAACAATGAAACAAATACAGCAAATTAGTAAATGTGTATACAGGGCATTTGGGAGTTCTTTGTTACTGTAACTTTTTTATAAGTTTGAACTATTTAAAAATAGAAAGCACTTGAGACAGCTTTAAGGGGAAAAACGATTAAATAGGATGTATTTTGAAATAGATATTTTATGTTGCAATTAAGCTGGTACAATAACCTAACTTATATATTGTTGTTGTTACGTGCCGTGGAGTCGGTTCCGACTCACAGTGACCCTGTAGTACAGGGTTTCCGAGGCTGTAAATCGTTATGGGAGCAGAAAGCCTCATCTTTCTCCCGCGGAACAGCTGGCAGTTCGAACTGCTGACCATGAGATTAGCAACCTGATTTGTAACCATATAGTTTTCAAAATACTTACCCATTGATTGGAAGCCTTGCCTGGGTCTGGATACCAGATGTGCCAGTAAAATTAGAGTTGCTTGCTATAGACACATATGAAGACTGCTGCAGCTACATGTAAAGAAAGCAAAGTTTCAGTCACACTTGCAAAATTCATATAATCATCCATTGCTGTTTTTAAGTGCCGTCGGTTCTGACGCATAGCGATCCTGTATAGGGTTTCCGAACAGTAGCTGGTGAGTTTGAACTGCCAACCTTGCAGTTCAACCTTGCAGTTCAGTGCTTATCCTACAGCACCACACCAGGGTCACTAAGAAGCACAATTCTACCGACTATAATAGGGAAAACACAATGGAGAATTTCATATCGACACAATATTTCATAGAGCTCTTTTAAAGACGCTAACAAATAGAGATGAAAAAAACAAGTGAGCATGCTAAAGGGCTACATGATTCAAAATTAGGAGATTATTTCATAGAAAAACATGCACATCATAATTATGGTGGTGATGGTAAATGACTTGGAGTTGGTCCTTACTCCTAGTGACCCCATATAGTGTTTCTGAGGCTGTAAATCTTCATGGGACCAGAAAGCCTCATCTTTCTCCTGCAAATTCGAAGAGCTGATCTTGTGGTTAGCAACCCAACTCATAATCCACTGCCCTACAAGTGCTGCATTTCATAATTGTTGTTACGTGCTGTCAAATCAGTTCCAATTCATAGAGACCCCATGTAGCATTTCTGAGGAGTGCCTGGTGGGTTTGAATCACCAACCTTGTGGCTAGTAGTACAGTGTTTATCCTATAGCACCATATCATATAATTATCACAATTATGTAGTTGTTGTTATAGTGCTGTTGAGTTGGTTTCGACTCACAGCAACCCTGCAATGGGTTTCCGAGGAGCAACTGGTGAGCTTGAACCGCCGACCTTGTGATTCAAACCGACCTTGCAGTCTAATGCGTTAACCTGCAGTGCCATACCAGAACTGCATACTCTGAAAATACTGTAATAACTTTCAACCCAAGCCAGCCTATTGGATAATTCATGGCTTTGACTCTAAAGATGACCAGATGAAGTTTCTGGAGAAATCAGTGAAGCTCTTTTACCTGAAAATGTATCACACATTCTATTTTTCAAGAGTAAATCAGTAAGATGTAATTTATTATATATGCCTGAGTGGGTTTTTTTGTTTGTGTGTTTTTTAAAAAAAGCTAAAGTGGATAAAGAGAAATACTTTTAACTGATGGTATATGGAGGGGATTATAATCAATGTAATGAAACAAATTATATGAAGTGTTGAATGTGAAACTGATGATGTGCTCTGTAAACTTTCACTCAATCCACAATAAAAACCTTAAATTAAAAAAAAAAAAAAAAAAGAGTAAATCAGTAGCAGCATATTTATGTGTGAAGGAGAGATTTAATACAGCCATAGTCTTTTCTAAATTAATTTGGGCTCTGCTGATTCTAACGTCAACCAATCTCTCTTCAACCTGAATAATCCTGGCCTCTCACCAGGCTGCTCTCAGCAACTAATTGTTTGATCTATACATCCGATGTGTGCTATCAATTTCTAAAAGCTAAAGATACCAAGAAATTTTAATTAACTTTTTAAGACTTTTCAAGTTGGAAAAAGTCATTTTAACACTGAGGTACATGATTTTCGTGACTAGCTTCAGAATATGAGACTTCTTAAGATCCCTGGGCGGCACAAATGGTTAAGTTATTGACTACTAACTGAAAGGCTGGCAATGTGAACCGACTCAGAGGCTCCTTGGAAGAAAGTCCTGGCAAGCTGCTTCTGAAAAGTCAAAGCCTTGAAAAACGCTATGGGGGTACAGCTCTATTTTGCAACACATGGGGTCTCCATGAGTCAGATTCGACTCAACAGTGGTGGTGGTGACTGTGTGCCGTGGAGTTGGTTCTGACTCATAGCGACCCTGTACAGGGTTTCCGAGGCTGTAAATTTTTATGGGAGCAGAAAGCCTCATCTTTCTCCTGTGGAACAGCTGGTAGTTTCGAACTGCTGACCTTGCGGTTTGCAGCCCGATTTGTAACCACTATGCTCTTTTTTAAAAAGACTTCTTGGATCTAACTATCCTTTTTAAAATGGAATGCCTTGATTTTTTCCACATACCTGAGTAACATATTGAGCTGGAAGCACTGCATAACCCACATTCCCTGTTCCTGGAGCTGGTGCCAGCACAGTGCCTGGTGGAAGGTTAGTGAGGTTGGGCTGGATCTGTGGCAGTGGTGTGGCAGGCATGATAAGTCGTTGCTGGGGCTGGCTAGTAGTAACTATTTGTGAAGTTGGATTGATTGGTTTGGGAACAACCTAAAGAGAAAGGAAGTATATCAATGACTATAAAAATAAATTTTACAACTGCTCAATTCAATATAACTCTCTTATACCTAAATCTGAACTTTCAGTTTTTCAAAGTAAATTATATACTTGGGAGAGCTTGAGAAAAGGAAGTTATGTGATGCTCACTTGTTTGACGGTAGTCTGTGCTGGGACAATTGGAACTGACATCCGCACTGGCGTTGCATTAACCACCACTGGCTTGGCTTTAAAAAGAAAAAAGAAAAAAAAACCTCTGAAATAATTGCAACAATTTTTTATGAAAAGTTATAATCCTTCTTTATCTGTTTAGTTAATGAGTAGATGCAATTATTTATAGAAGAAGTATTTAAAACACTTAAGAATACTTTAGCTCTCCTAGATTATTATCCTCATGAGTGAGCTTAAAGAATTCCATTTGTTTCCTATTTAGAGTAATAGTTAATCAGGATAGTTACCTTTCATAATTCCTTAATCCATATATAGGAAACTTACATCTAAGGCAGCTATAACCTATCTACTTTATGAGGGAGTATGTGCAGATTGAAGACACACTTTTGAAAGTATTTTTTATATACTCACTATTAAATCCAGCCAAATGGAACATTGTAAAATAAATGGACCGCCATTCACGAACCTAAATAGCAACACCATTCTACACTATTTCTAATTGTTGTGTCTCTACTTAAACCAGAAAAAATACTTATGATTACTATTAATGTTATTAAAGAGGTAGCACAGTGACTTATGAGTTGGGCTGATAACTGCAAGGTCAGCAGTTTGAATCTACCAGCTGTTTCTCAGGAAAAAGAAGAGGCTTTCTGCTCCCGTAAAGATTTATAGCCTTGGAACCCTATATAGGGTCACTATGTGTCAGAATCAACTCAACGGCACACAATCACCACCACTACCATTATTATTATGGTATAATTCAATATTTATAGAATCTATAAAAAGGCATCACAGCCTAAATATTAAGAATAAAGGCTATGAAACCATAAAACCCTAGGGGTTCAAATCCTAGTTCTGCCACTTTCCACCTATCTATTTTACCCATTTCTCTATTTGCAGTAAAAGTATGACAAGAGAATCAATCTTACAAATAGATGATGCTCTTATTGTTAAGTTTCATGGAGTAGGTTCCGACTCATAGCAACCCTGTATAGGGTTTCCAAGGCTGTGTACATCATTGAGAGAGCAAAAACCTCCATCTTTCTTTAATGGAGCGCCTTGTGGACTCGAACTGCCGACCTTTTGGTTTAAAGTCTAGTGCTATCCTAAAAAGCAACTGCGCATCTTCTACGTAGATGTTGCTTGTTGTTGTTAAGTGCCGTTGAATCAGTTCCGACTCATAGCGACCTTGTATAGGGTTTTCAAGGAACATCTGGTGGGTATGAACCACAGACCTTGTGGTTCAAACTAACCTTGTGCATTATCCTGCAGCACCACACCAGTAGATAAAAGATGCTGATTTGTGAATGTTGACTAAAACAGTGCCTAACAAATAGTAAGTGTTGAATAATGCTACCTGACATTATTGTTGTAAATGTTGTTATATAAATGACATTGTGGACATTGTTCCCGTGAACTAACATACAAAACACCTAATAGGTTAAATCAGGCAAGCACTCAAATATGATAAATACCATTAAAGAAGACAGAGCACTGTGGGAATCCACAGGAAAGAGAACATACAACTGAGAGGCCCACAGGATGGGACTCTGGAGAGTGCATGGAGGGCATAGTGTTTGAGAAGAGTCCTGAACAGTGAGCAGCTGAAGAAAAGGCACACAGACTGGAGGAAGGCATTGAAGACAGAGACAGAAGCAGCTAGCTGTGCAGCAGCAAGAATTCTTCACAAAGCACTGATGACCAGACTGCTCTGGCTGGAGCCTAGGGTGAAAGAAGGCAAACGGAGGCAAAAAGAGATACTGTAGTTGTTTTGTTGAGGACCATGACTGTTTGAAAGTTAGAATGGAAATCTGTATTTTTAATTCACTAGATAATGAGATGTTTTTGAAAGTTTTTAAGTATAGATAGGTTATTAGAACACCACAAAAAGAAATTGTATTTGGCAGCAGTAAAACAGGTGGTATTGCAAGAATGAGACAAGCCCAAAGAGTATCACATTAGTCTGTGCAAATAAAATGAGGGTCTAATCTGGGGTAATAAGGGGAATGAAAAGGACAGAGCAGATGCAAGAGATATATAGTGGAGGGGAAAGTAACCCAAATGGTAAAGATTGGAGGCATCCAACCCTGTTACCATGGAGTTGATTCCCACTCCCAGCGACCCTACAGGGCAGAGGTGAACTGCTCCTTAGGGAGTCTAAGAATGTAAATCTTCACAGGGAGCAGACAGCCACATTGTCTCCCACAGAGCGGCTCGTGGGTTTGAACCACAAACCTTGAGGTTAGCAGCTCACTGCACCACCAAGGCCTCCTTATTATAGATACAAGGGGAGAAAAATAAGTCATTCGAAGGTAAATGAAGTTATTATAACTAAAAAGTCACAGATGAACAGATCTGAATGGAAGATGAAAGCTGATGTGGAGAGATGCTGTGATGGAACACAGGCAGGAGGCTGGCAGAAGACTTATGCTTAGACCAAAAGACCTGCCCTGTGTACACTGCTCAGAGCCATTTCTACAGTCTAACGGAGGGATTCAAGAAGACAAGGACGTGGCTTCGGACTGGACTATACTTAAGGTAAGATTGGATCCTGGCCTGAAAGAGAGAGATTGAGGATTGACCTAATGCTATCTAGACTGCTCTGAATAATCAAGGAAAACAGTGGATTTTCTTGGCTAGAAAGACTGCTTCACTGCTAACTTATTTTTTACTTTTGCTGGGAATGGAGTCACTGATGGCTAGAGACAAAAAGTTGAAAATCTTAGATGAGGAAAAGAGAATATCACAGAGAATAATCTGATCTAAAATGGAACAGGCCCCTGAAGCAAAATAACAAGTTACAAGTGGAGCAGGAAATCGGGAGACCCCCATAAAAGACTATAGGATTAGACAGCAGTGGTTGCTTGACTCTGTGAATATACTAAAAAAACACTGAATTGTACCTTTTTAAGTGGTGAGCCTTAGGGCTTGTTAATTATATACCAATAAAGTTGTTATGGAATCCTGGTGTGGCGCTGTGGGATGGTGTCGCACTGTGGGTTAATGCACCAGACTACAAAGCCGTTTGAACTGCAAGGTTGGTGGTTCAAGCTCACCAGCGGATCCTCAGAAACCCTATACAGGATCGCCATGGTTCGGAACCAACTCAACGGCACTTCACAACAAAAACAGAGTTGTTATGAGAGCACAGTGGCTTTGCAGGATAACCGGACTGCTAACCACAAGGTCTACAGTTTAAGTCTACCAGCTCATCCACGGAAGATGAGATTTTCTGCTCTCATAAAGATTTATGACCTCAGAAACCCTATACAGGATCACTGAGTTGAAACTAACCCAACAGCACTTAACAACAACAAAATTTGTTATTTAGACAGAGTACAGTCATCCCTCAGTATTGGAGAGGGATTAATTCCAGAACTCCTGGGTGGTACTATTAAGTGCCATCTACCATAACAGCAATCTGATGTAGCAAGCTGGTGGGTTTGAACCACCCTTTTGAGTTAGCAGTCCATTGCTTATTCTACAGCACCATACCAGACCTCCACAACCCCTCAGTTGTTGTTGTTAAGTGCCGTCGAGTCGGTTCCAACCCATAGCGACCCTGTACAGGGTTTCCGAGGTATACATACCAAAATCAGGGTATACTCAAGTCTCTTATATAAGGCACTGTTGTTGTTGTTGTTAAGGGCTGTAGAGTAGGTTCCGACTCATAGCGACCCTGTTTAGGGTTTCCGAGGAGCAGCCAGTGGGTTTTAACTGCCAACCTTGTGGTTCAAACCAACACTGCAGTTGAGTACTTACCCTGCAGTACCACACCAGGACTCCATAATTTGGCGTAGTATTTGCATATAAACTACACACATACTCCCTCCCATATACTTTAATCATTTCTAGATTACTTAAAATACCAAATACAATTCAAATGCTATGCAAATAGCACTGTAAGTTCCCTTTTAGCCTTTGAGGGATTCCTGCTACCATTTAAGTGCTTTTTAGAAAAATTTTTTCACGGATACAAAGGGTCCACACAACACAAGCAGCAAAGTAACCAGCCAATAGACATATAAGGCTCAATGAGTGTTGGAAAGAGACTGAGGATCTGGAAAACAGTGGAGACTACAGCAGGGTGTGTCTACACATCACTTTATTCATGTGGATTCAGTGCAGAGCAAATTGAAGTTTTGCTTTTTGGAACTTTCTGGAATTTTCCTCCCAAACATTTTTCATCCACAGATACGGAAGACTGACTGTATATGGCCATGGGTTGCAGAAACAGTGACATGATACCTACAAGTGACTTGAAATGGTTTCTGTTTTGATTTTCCTATCGCCTTTGCACTTTAGTCAAGTTATATTGGCTGCTGTTGACTGTCGGTCTCAGCAACGCTTTAAGGAGTTAAAAGATGAGCTGTAGTTTGTGCTTGCTGCAGAGGAGAGTGAACTCCCTGCTCCCTGCAGTGGTCACCCTTCCAAGAACACAGAGTAAGAAGTTTGAAGTTGGTGTATGATGCAGTAAATTACTTCATGTAGCCCTTCTAGCCATACTCTTTGTAACTCACACAGAATGACTGAGTGGGACTATGAAAACAGGTGTATGGAATCTGTGACTCTTGGGGTTATGTGTCAACTTGCCTAGACCATGATCCCCAGTACTGTGTGGTGAGCAAAGAGAAGGGACCTGACTACCCTCAAGAAAGAAGACCAGGAGCATGTCTTTTGGACCTGGGATTCCTGTGTTGAGAACCTCCTAGACTTAAAAACCAGTAAGAGTGGTAGTACCAGAGACAGCGAGGTTGAGCGAGAAGCAGCAGCAAAGGCAGCAGAACCGGGAGATCAGCAGGAACCAGTGCAATGGGCTTCTTGGTCTATAGGGCAAGGAAGTTGAGAGCTTTGGGCAGAAGGCTTCCTGCTGGAGTGATGTGCCTCTGGGCAATTGCTAGTGGAGTCAGAAGAGCTTTGTAACATTTGTCTGAGCAGAACAGAGGTTGCGCCAAGTGGCCATAGAGAGAAGTCTGCAATTATGACTGAAAAGAGATTGCCCTGACCAAAAAAGGTTCATTCTGGACCTTGAATTGCACTGTTACCTCATTAACTCCATACTAATGAACATTGTCTGTGCCTTTTGTGGCCATTCCAATGTATTATTAAACCCAGCAGAAGGAGGGACACCTGGTGCTAAAATTGGTAAACTAGTTGAAGAGTAGGTATGTGTCAGCCTTGAACTATTGATCTTGATTCTTCTCCCCACTTACGAAGTGAGAGGAAGTCAGATACCCTTGCCACATCATTTTTACAGAGAACAATAACCAGGAAAATGTAATTATTTCCTGGTGGTCCTGAGATACAAAGGAGAAGGGGTATAGCCTGCCTTCAGTCACTTCAAATGGTGGGCTAAACAGTGGGCTCATGATTTCATTTGGATAATAAGGAAAAGGTAAATAACTCTCCACCTTCCTCTTGTTGTTGTTGTTGTTATGTGCCGTGGAGTCAGTTCCGACTCATAGCGACCTTGTACAGAGTTTCCGAGGCTGTAAATCCTTATGGGAACAGAAAGCCTCATCTTTCTCTCGCGGAACAGCTGGTAGTTTCTAATTGCTGACCTGCGATTCACAGCCCAATTCGTAACCACTATGCTACCAGAGCTCCCACCTTCCTCTACACACTGGAAATTCTGTAGGTTTCAGTAGGCTTGACATCTATATGTGGAGTTTTACTGAAGCCTTTGGGATGGAGAAAACACTACTCCAGTTTTCATAGAAGTTGGCATTATCTTTTATTTTTTGGTCTTAAAGAATTCTTAGAACAGGAATTCTGCACAATGCCTTTGGAACAGATTCCTCCCCAAGTTTCAGAAACCATTATCTGCAAGAGTGAAGTTTTCTTAATTCCTTAAACATATCCCCACCTCCCTTAGCAAGATGGCAGGAGATTATATCCTGAAGAGGTTAATCAAGTCCCTTCTGAGCCTCTCTGCTTGTTGTCAGCTATCAGGCCAACAATTAATAAGGGAGAGCTTTTGAACATTATTTTTGGGGCAGAAAATGTACAAGATAAGCCCAATTTCCTTTGGTATAGTTAAGTAAATTCCTCATCAGAAATCAGGTTTTTAAAAAGACATATTAATACAGTTGATGAGCTAAAGTACATATTTAGTGTATATATGATTGTTAAAATTAAATTTAACTCATTATTTCCATGAAACAATATATGTACATATATCCATCATTTTTATGGGACAAGAAAGAAAAATATATGATGATAATAAAGGAAGTCACATGTGTGTAAGTAAAAGGCTATAGAGACAGGATGGTGAAAAAGGTGGAGAAATGAAGGTGAGAACACAGAGGGAAAGCTGAAGGTGCAAAGCAAAAAAGGGAGAGGCAAGATTGCAGAAGTAGGGACAAGGGTTGCCGAAGTTAAAGAGAAGCAGAACGGCAGAGAGAGGCAGGCAGACAGACAGATAAAGTTGGAAAAGAAGGCACCAGGAAACACAAAATAATTATGACATGCCCAGCCATTCCTCTACTCTTCCTAGATCTTATCTTTTCTACTATACCAAAGACTTAATTCTTACTAAGATTCAATTAGTATTAACTTTACACTAGAAGTGGAGACCCAGCATTATGTACAAGCAGAAATATATACATATAAAATAAATCAACTGTATCTAATGACTGTTTTACATCTCCATGTCACCTAAGTACAATGGACTTGTAGCAGAATATAAAACTTGACTCCCTTCGTCAGCAATAAACAAGCTTCATGTTTTTCTCAGTAAGAATACGATGATAAAAGAACACCCTTTTAAATTCCTTTTAATAAGAGGAAATATTAAGTGCCATTGAACTGGTTCCAATTCACAGAGACCCTCTACAGGGTTTCTGAGGAGCGGCTGGTGAGCTTAAACTGCCGACCTTGCAGTTAGCAGGTCAAAGCAATCCTACAGCGCCACACCAGGACTCCAAGGAGGAATTAGAAACCATAATTACTTGATATTATACACTAATATATTCTCCCATGCTTTCTCATCTCCTCTGTTCAGCAACTAAGAAAAAAAATACTCTCAGCATTTAAAGAGACCAGCAGCCTAAGTGCTGGACCTGAACTGTTTTTTAATCTGGAAAAAAAAAAAAAAAAGGTGTGTGGGGTGGGGGTGGGCAGGGGGTTCTTCACAGACTGCCTCAGGTGAAACAGCTATCAGCAATAGATAGCTCCAAATTCCTGACCTCTTAATTGAAAACAACAGTAACTAACTGGCCTTTAATTCTTTATTTCCTTCCAGTAAACAATAAATCATTCACATGCTATCAACTACTTTCTGACTTCACTGGATTAGACAACAACTTTCCAAGGGAAAGATTATGTTCTAACTGCAAAGTGCCGGATTCGGATAGTATCCTGATCCTTTCACACCATTTCATTTTTTTAAAAAAAGTATATAAACATGGAGTAGGAGTCCTAGTATGGCATTGTACGATAGGCACTAGACTGCTAGTCACAAGGCTGATGGTTCAAATCCACCAGTGGCTCCTCAAAAACACTATACGGAGTTGCTATGAATCAAGTCTTCGACAGCACTTAAGAACAACAAAACATAGAGAAAGATGATGTTGTTTGTATCTGTTGTACTATGGTTGTTGTTAAATGCCTTTGAGTTGGTTTCAACTAATAGCAACCCTGCTTAACAGTTTCCAAGGAGCACTAGTGGGTCTGAACCATCAACCTTACGGTTAGCTGTCCCATGCTTATCCTACAATGCCATACCAGGATACCATACTACGTGGTTGGTTGGTTGGTTATGTGCCGTGGAGTCGGTTCCGACTCATAGTAACCCTGTACAGGGTTTCCGAGGCTGTAAATCTTTACGGGAACAGAAAGCCTCATCTTTTTCCCGTGGAACAGCTGGTAGTTTTGAACTGCTGACCTTGTGGTTCACAGCCCAATTCGTAACCACTACGCTACCAGAGCTCCATGTACTATGTGGTAGGAAGGGTTAAACATAGAAAATGGTAGGACTACAAACAGGAATATCCTCTAGAAAAAACTACAACTGAGGGAAAGGTTAGGATATTTAATCACCTTCTCTTAGAAGTTATAGATTAAAAATAGGTAAAGGATGAATGTGATGTAAGGTTTATATTTATAATTTATATATTACCTACTTATTTCAACTGACCAAAACAATCAAGAGACTTTATAGTTTAGAAAAATAAGATAAGCAATCTTGTTGCATCTTAATCTAGTCCACCTAAGATCACTAGCATAAATAGTAGGTTTAAGATCACCAATAAAATGGCTAACCACATTTTGATAAGGAATTATGATTATCTGTGTACCAGTTTCTAACAGAATGAAATACCACAGTTATATACAACTATGCCTCTATTTCACTGCCTTCTACAACAGCTGCTGATTCAAACTCTCAGCTGAAATGCCACACTTAATCAGGATTTCAGCAAGTAAAGGACCAAAGTTCTTAATAATGTTAAAAACATTAATAACTGTTTAAAAAAAAAAAAAAAAAAAAAGGTTACTAACCTTGCTGAAGAGGCTGAGTGTTTGTACTGGGGTTCTGACTAACTGGCTGGGTTGAGCTACTGGCTGTTGTGGCAGTAACAAGTCGGACATAATGAAACTTGCTTCCAGGCACTTGAATCTGCTGGACATTGGGAGCAGTTGCCAGAGGAATAATTGTCTTAAACTGTGATGTGCTCACGCCTCCAACAGTGATGGTCTGCACAGCTGATTTCACTGCCTATTAAACAATACAACATTGCTATCATTAATCTGGGATTTAACTTCCCTATTCTTTTTTACTTATGACAGTTGCTCAAGTAAAAAAGTATGTTCCTTTATTTCATCAACAGCTGTTGAAAGAAACAACCTGTTCAAAGAGAAATGAAAATAGTAGTAATGAACATAGGAGTGAAGTCAAAATTAATGAGTTCTATCTTCCATATCTAACAGTTAACTTCCTTAAAATCCCAGGACAGATGACTTGCTATGAAGAAATTATTACTTAATTTACGAGAACTTAACAGTTTTATTATTATCACTTAAAATAGGTAAGAAATGGATTATTTTAAATCTCCTATCATTAAGCCCCAAATTCCACATAGAGAAGATATATACACATCTGGTTTTATTGCTACCCATCAAATTTAGTATGACAAATTTTATATTCACATATTCTAAAAGAAAGTGACCCCTCCCCCAAAACTCATCTTATATCCTAATTAATTCTCGTCAATTCTGAAGGACTTATAATACTCTCTAGATACAAATGTACCCACTAACATATGGGCAGGGAAACTAATTCAGACCCAAACTCCCTAGATTGTGGTTGTCTAGGGAACTAATAATATCTGGATGAATCATATCTGAGTGAAAACATTCATTTTAATTATTTTTAATCCTTTCCCTCTGTCAGACAGCAATTTGATTTCCCACAAAGTGAAATGAAACATGGTGATGGTGGTGGTTGTATGTCATTGAATCAATTCCCACTCAGAGTGACCCTGTATATGCTTTCCGAGGCGGTAAATCTTTACAGGAGCAGAAAGCTGCATCTTTCATCCTCTGAGTGGCAGGTAGATTTGAATTGCTGACCTTGTGGTTAGCAGCCCAACTCCTAACTATTACACTACCGGGGTTCCCTGAAACACGAAGGAGTCTTTGAAATGTCTCCAAATTTAATGTTTAGCCTTTATACAACAGAATAACATGCAAAACAAAGGACTAGTTCTATAGTCACAGCCTCAGAAACCCTGTACAGGGTCACTATGAGTCAGAACCGACTCCATGGCACATCACCATCTATAGTCATATTAAAGGATTAAGCCCCTACCTATTCTTCAAAATACATTCATGAGAATAGACAATTAACATATGAAAGAGAAAATCTATATTCACTAAGTGGATAATACATTTTTAAAGAACAGTTTGGAAGAATATGAACATTTTTATGAACATTGACTAATATAAAACAATTCATATATAATCATTAGGTCCCACTACCATCCAGTTAATTCTGACTCATACAAACCCACAGAACAATGCAAAACTGCCTCATAGTTTCTAAGACTGTAATCTTTACAGAAAGCAGACTGACACATCTTTCTCCATAAGTGGCTAGTGGGTTCAACTGCTGACCTTTTAATTACCAGCCGATCACTTTTACCATTGTGCCACCAAATACACCAAAAATTCAAAATTTAGGCAGTCCCTGGATTATGAATAAATTCCATTCATAAATCTGTCTCTAAGTCAAATTTGTACAGAAGCTTAAACAGTTAAATGTAGTTCATACCTAACAGTTCGTCAAATGTTTTTCCTAGTTATTTAGTATACCTCGTTCTGCAGAGCATTTAAGAGACCCCTTTCAGACATACTAAAACATATTTAACATAGTAATACAGTATGAATAATAATGTTTTGATATGTGCCACAAAGTAGTGTTTTTTATTAGAAAGAATGCATGCACTGTGAATTTTTAATATAATAGGTTTTACAGGGGCGGTTTATAACTGCAGGTTACACATAACTCAAATGTTAGTAACCAGTGACTACCTATAAAGATAAACCTAACAAGAGCTAATGAAGTCAGTGAGTTAATTGGAAATAAGAAGCTTGAGAAAAAAGATAAAATGAGTACATATGGGACCTAATGAAAAACAAAGCAACCTGTGAGACAAATATAGGTTGCCAAAAGCTAGCTCAAAAAGTTGATCTTTTTTCTAACAGTCTTAAGCAATGAAGCTAACAAAGATGATTTTATGGAACAAAGGCATGAGTCTTAGATTTACCAATACAATGCAGAGAGAAAGATCCAGCTAAAACAGTGACTACCAAGGGGATATGCCGGTGGTAGTATACCGTGGAGTCGGTTCCAACTCATAGCGACCCTGTACAGGGTTTCCAAGACTGTAAATCTTTACGGAACAGAAAGCCTCATCTTTCTCTAGCAGAACAGCTGGTAGTTTCGAACTGCTGACCTTGCGGTTCGCAGCCCAATTCATAACCACAAGGGGATATGCTAGACCAGTACAATTCAAGGCAGAGAGGTTAGCTCAGAAGGCTATGGCAATTGCGTTCTAGAATTCCAAAGGGGTAGTCCTGGTGTAGCATTGTGGGCTAATGCGTCAGACTGAAAAGTCAGTTTGAACTGCAAGGTCAGTGGTTCAAGCTCATAAGCTGCTCCTTGGAAACTCTACACAGGTTCACTATGGGTCGGAATCGACTTGATGGCACTTAACAACAACAACAATGTTAATAGGAGGAGCCATGGTAGCGTAGTGGTTACACCTTGGTGTGCTAACTAAAAGGTCAGCTACATCTCAAGAGAACCATGAGGAGCAGGAACCAAATCAACGGCACACCACCACCACAAATCTTAATAGATATTCTCCAAAGAGACAAGATGACCACAAGACCTGATCGTGAAGTTTTTTTTTTTTTTTTAATTTTTTATTGGATT